GAAACTAATATAACACTGTATGTTAATTCTACTAGAATTAAAATTTAAAAAAATAAAGATGAGGAAACAAACACAGAAGTTAGGTAACTTGTCCCAGGAAACTCAACTAGAAAGTGGCAAAGCCCAGAACTGAACTTGAGTATTTTGACTCCAGAACCCACTGGTACACGTTGGCAGATATGAAAGACAGAAAGCACCAAAAAAAAGTTAAGCGGCAATTCTAGAATCTGTTTCTCTTGTCTTATTCAGATCAAACCAGATGGTCAGAAAAAAAAAAAAATCTGGGTACTTCAGGTCAACATTTCCAAAAGAAAAACATTCTGAGACAGCATTCTAAATCATCTTTAAACAAAATAATCCAACTTAGAACAAAGTGAGGGGAGGAAATGGACAGACATTCCTGACAAGGCTGAGACCATAAAAACAAGGGGAACGGGGAGGGACGACTGGAAAGGAAGGCGAGAACAGGGGTTGGTAAGGGTTAAGGAAGCCAAGCATGTGCAAGGAGCAGAGAAAGGGGAGAGCTGCACTCTCCAAAAATACTCAACTATTATCCAAAAAGTCATGCCGGATCCAAAGGGTTAGTCACAAGGAAGTGACCGAGAACACCGTGGTTCCAACACTGGATCAGCCTGAGGATCGAGCACAGAAAGTGGACCAAGTTGAGCTGGAGCAGAGATTCTTAAGCCTCTTCTACCGTGACCCACATAAAGAAACAGATTTGACATCACAGTGAAGGAACCTCGTACAAAAATACATACACACATACGTATTAGGAAAGTAAAACCAAAGTTTTCCCAAACAAATGCACTCTGATATTTTCTATTCTTTTTTAAAAAGATTTTATTTATCTGAGAGTGAGAGTGAGCATGATCGGGGAACGGGGGCAGAGGGAGAAGCAGACCCCCCGCCCGCTAAGGAGGGAGCCCGAAGCAGGACTCGATCCCAGGACCCTGCGATCATGACCTGGGCTGAAGGCAGATACTTAACTGACTGAGCCACCCAGGCGCCCCCGATATTTTCTATTCTGTTCTACTCCTTCTTCTTCCTTTTTTTTTTTTTTTTTGGTTTAAAGTAGGCTCCACACCCAACATGGAGCCTAACGCGGGAGCTTGAACTCACCACTGTGAGACCAAGACCTGAGCCGAGATGGGAGAGTTGGCCGATGACCGATGGAGACACCCAGGCGCCCCATTCTTCTTCTTTGTTCAAATGCTTGTCAAGAGCTATGAAACTGATCTCATGACCTGCTAATGGGTCTTGACCTACAATCTGAAAACACATCAGGACAGAGCTCCGAGAGCAAGCCAGGGAACAGCCTTGGACCCCCAACCAGAAGAAGAAGAGCTTGTTCATGTGTGTGGTCTTTTCCCTGCCTATGTGTTTCTTCTGCACGAGAGAAAAAGCAGGGCACCCAGCACCTGCACCACCGCTCATACACACTACACCCTGCTTACTAATTCATACCTTAACCTCCTTCACCACGAGCCCCTCAACAACAGAAGGCTGTCTGTCCTTTGTTCAGAAGTGTGACAAGGAGACTGAGCAGTAAATAACAGGAATTTGCTGCATTAACATTCATATCACAAAGCGAGGAGCCAAACCTGCTCTCTGAGAGTTTCCAAGTAAGTCCCTGAGTGAATGGTTCAAGTACAAAATGAAATTCCGTTTGGTGTTGAAATTCCTCCGAATTCTGGGCTGCTAAATGGTCTTGTGTTTCCTTGAGTTTCCTTGCTCTCTTTTATATACCCGACGATTCAATTATAAATTCCTTCCCCACGCTTTTTACTGTTTTCAAACATAAAATACAGTCACTGAACAGCTTAGAAACAAAGATCATGAAATATTTTGCCTGGATTGAAATTCTTAAAAATATTTTACACTTAGTTGGATTTCTTGTGGAATTTCCATCCATAAGCAGAAAAACTACCAAACATCTTCAGACATTTAGCCTGAATTTTAAAAAAAAAAATTTTTTTAAATAAATAAAACCTATACAGAATTTGTGTTCAGGAGGCTCAGCCTCAAGAGTGAAGGTAGGAAATATGGGTGTTGGCAGTTGTCCAAGAACACCGGCGAATATATCAGTGAATGAATCTAGAAGGGGCTGGAACAAGGAAAGTCTCAGCTTGAGAAAACATTTTCAGGAGTGTCAAAAACTGAGTGTATGTGAGCAGACACCGTATTGTAGAGTCAGTATGTGCACACAATGTTGAGGAAAATATCCTTGTAATGATCTGGGATTTTAGCTCCTGTGAATGGACTGCACGGAGATGAAAAGACATCAAATCAGGTCTCAGAGGTAGGAATGTGGAGAACAAAAGCCTGGAAACATCCTCTTTGAGCACATGTTCCGACAGAAAAGAAATCTCTCTCAACTTTGCCACGATGTTCAATGCAATTAAAAAGCTACAGAAGAGAATTAAGATGAAATCAAACTCAACTTAAAGGAAATACTGATTATGTCCAAGGTCTGAGGAGGCTGGGGGGGATGAGGGACAGGCAGCAGGGACGAAAAGGAAGCGGGTGGAGGAGAAATGTCTGCATCTAATTAGAATACACCAGAACGAAGCAAGAACCAGCAAAGAAGTTTAAACCAAAGACAAGGGTCTGAGGGTCCAGTACGGCTGCCCCTCAGAGCACAGGAGGTTCACAACAGATGAGACAAAGGGCCTCACACTTCCTTCCAAGCTCCCAAACTCAAACTGTGTGGTCTTTCAGGTCTGGCTTCTTTCACCTGCCATAAGGTTTCTGAAGTCCCACCACGTCGTAGTGTGGATCAGCCCTTCATCTGCCTCCACGGTTCGGTTTCCACGGTTTGGCTACTATGAAGACTCCTGCTACAAACATTCAATCACACGTCTGTGTGTGAACGTAGGCTCCATTTATCTTCAGTGATACCTAGGAGTGGAACTGCTGGGTTGTGTGGTAAATCTGTGTTTAGCTTTATTTGTTTTTTAAGATTTATTTGAGAGAGAGAGAGAGCATGCACGCACATGTGGGGGAAGGGGGGGAGAAGGAGGGGCAGAGGGAGAGGGAGAGAGTGTCTGAAGCAGACTCTGTACAGAGCACAGGGCACAGAGCCCAACTCGGAGCTCGACTCCACAACCCCGAGACCACGAGCTGAGCCAAAACCAAGAGCCGGACGCTTCACCGACTGCACCACCCAAGCACCCCAATTTGTGTTTGGCTTTTTAAGACACTGTCTAACCAGTTTGCAAAGTGGCTGCACCATTTTACATTCGCACCAGTAAGGCACGTGTCCCCATTTCCCACGTCCTCTCCAACACTTACTTTGATCACAGCCATACTGGTTGTGAAGTGGTATCTCACTGTGGTGTGAGTTTGCGTTTCCCGTCCCCTGGCCTACTGCACTCTGGGTTTACATCCTTAAGGATTTGCCTCCATCACCTACCTCCCTCCACTGAGTCTGTCCAGTCAGTAGATGAGTATGTTTGGGTCCCTCCCATTTTAAAAAACAAAGCAGAAACTGCCATCCTGTCTATAAAAGGTAATCTCCGTGTATATTTCCATTTGTCACATTCATCACTTTCTAGCAGTTGGCTAATAGAGACAACATCAGTTTTTCCTAAAGAAATTCCTATACCCCCAAAGAAACTCCTATTTCAGGGATATGCATCCACGATTTTCAGCTGTGGTTGATTCCATGAGGAGGATTTTCATGTGATCTAGTTTTCTAATTCAGTCTCAAACTTCTTTTAGATTCACTACTTTATATGCTAGGAAATTGCTCTTTATTTTTGGCTTGAATACCACATGGGTGGGTATCCTTTTCAATGAAGAACAGTCTCTCTGTCAGGAACACAAAGCAGAACTGTCTCTATCAGTACCTTCAGCTCAGTTTAATCCTCATCAAATATATAACATTACAAGATGAAAGGCTTTTATTCAACAATGCTGGAAAACATTTGCAACAGATAATGAAAACAAAATATTCCCTCTAGAGATAAAGCTATTTCTTCTTAAGCCACATCCACCAATGTTCCCCTACTGAGAATTCAAATGTTTAGGTTTCACATTCTAAACCTACTGACTCTGCCCTTTGCCCACACACTTTCAACGAAACCTTCTTCTGCCTCATCGTGAACTCCAGTCCTTCATTTTCTCCCAATCCCCATGTTCAAATCTTGTTAAATATTAAAAGATACATGTGGTACACAGAATAGTAAGATGATCCCCAAGATTCCTTCCCCCAGTATACATGCCCTGTATAATTTCCTTGAGTGTGTGGGGCAGACTGACGAGCATATGACACATCGCTAATGGGACTGGGCTACTATTCAGTTGACTTTGAGTTCATCAAAAGGGGAGACTGTCCTGGGTGGGCCTGACCTAATCAGGTGCTCTGTTTAAAAGAGAGGTAAGTATCCAAGAGACATGCTCCTTACTGCCTCAAGCACAAAGCAAACTGGGACATAGTGAGAGGAGAGGCTGTGTGGTAAGGACCTGAGCACAGACCGGGTGCCGGGAGTGGTCCCTGATGAGAGGCAGCGAGAATATATGACCTCTGTCCTACAGACCCAAGGACATTCATTCTGCCAACAACCAGCAAGCTTGAACACATCAGGTCACACAAGATCACAGCCGCAGCTGACAACTTGACTTCAGCCTCGAGAGACTCTGAGCAGACAGCCCAGCGAACCTGCACCCAGGCTACCGACCCAAGGAAACTGTCCGGTAACACATCCCTGCCGTGTGGACGGTAATTTGTTACACAGTCATAAAAAACTAATACGGCAGTTTAAAAATAATATCCTCCATTCTGTTTGTATCTCTTCAAAAGAAGTTAATTAGAGAATGAATTTTAGCACCAGTATTTTCATCAAAGGGTAGAAAAACCTAGAAGCCAGCAAAGCATCAGTAGCATTTATTAAATAATTAGAAGTGAGCTTGACGCCATTCTCTGGGGGTGGCCACACAAAAATTGCCGAATGCTCTTACAATTCTGGCCTCAGTGATCACATGAATTGCTACAGTACCTCGATCCTCCAGTGGGTTGCCAGCAAGGTTAATTGTGTGGAGTCCTGAGTTGGGATTATGCGCTAGAGCACTGGCCAGTTTTTGGGCAAAATCTCTGCAAGTAAACAAAACAGTAAGATTAAAGAACACAAAATGCAATACTGCTCAAATAAAAGTTTGACAGCTAGAAGAGCTAGAGTGAAATCTAAAAAACGAAAACCTTTCTTTACAATATTAATCTACTTACCATACATTCGTTAACACCCTATCTAGTCTATATACACAAGTATAAGTATATATCCTCATTAGAGAATCTGTAAAGCCATAGCCAAAATGTGGTTCATTTTCATCAGCCAAAACCTCATTCAAAAGCAAAAAGAAAATATATAATTGCCCCTTTAAAATAGTATTACTTAGTCCCTCCATAACTTAAAAAAAAATCCTGAATTGAACCTGCTTCTCATGGAAACGGCAATCGGCTGTTCACCCTATCTCACTTCGCGCAATGCTCACAAATGCAAAACTGATTGCCCTAATTATTGAGTTTAAAGGCTACGATTGCTACCATTATGTTTTAACAAAAATTCAAAATCACTATTTTAGGTATGTTGTACTTAAAATAACACACTAAGTGCTATGATTATGAAGCTGTCAACCCCCCTCACTTAGGAGCAGTAAAGTCTTTGTTCTGGCAGATTTGAACTCCGCGTGAGGCTTGGGCACTGCCTACAGAGCCATTCCCAACTACTGAACAAGGTTAAGTATGGATTTGGAAAGAGAGAGAAACACATAAAACAGATCCAAGCAAAATGGGAAATATGTTATTATCAGGACTATCATGAATGATATTCCTAAGAGCTAACACAGAGCATCTATAATATGAAAGCTACTTGTCTAAGGATTTTACATAAATTTACTTCTCCTAGCAGCCATCATTCTATAAGATAGGTGCTATTGTGTTCTCCATCTTAAAGATAAAGAGAGTGAGGCTCAGAAGTGCAGCAATTCGCCCAAGGCCATGAGGCATCTGGCTCAGGACCCACTGTCCTAACCACCATTCCGGGCTCCCTCGAAAACATCCAGTGACCAGACCACAGAGGATGTTATAAAATCCTTGATCTTTGTGATGATGGGGAGCACAGGGATCCTTTATTTATTTTTTTTTTAAGAGAAAACATTATACTTTATATGTGAGTGGCTCAATCTCTTAAAAAAAAAAAAAAAACCTATATATTAATTTTAGAGGAAATGGCAGGAAGCTTTTAAGCCACATATTCGTACATTCAGGACAATACTCACGTTCTGAGCCCGGCGTTTTCCAACACCAATTCCTCCAGCCGACTGGACCTACTCACCACTCTCAAGATCTGTTCACAGACATCGGTGGACTGTAAGAGAAGACACTGTGTGACCATGCCCTAAGTCTCAAGGCAATCTCACTTTGTTGTCACAAATCCATGCAGATGCAAAGTTTTAATTAAATAAACCACATTTTCATGCAGTAATTCATTCGACAGAACCTGACCCGGCCTCTACCACTATGCACCATCACAATGAAGGTCCTGGGGCTACAACAAGCAAGGACAGAAAGTCCATGCCTTTAAGAGTATACCATCCAGCAGGTCACTGAGACAAGAAAACAGACAATTACAACGGAATCCTTAAAAGGCCATTTCAGTAGTGCTGTCGGCACTCAGAGGCATATCCCAATCTTGGGAAAACCAAAAGGAATTCCCAAAGAATGTGACCCCCAGCCTAAGAACAAAAGACTTAGTGTTGGTAACGATGTTAAGGTTCCTAGTGACAATCCTTTTGCTGAGCTCTTGTCTTGCGCTAGGCCCCAAGCTAAACCCTTTGTGTGTATTTTATCATAAAACTGCTCAGTATTATTCCCGTTTTATAGATAAGAAAGTTAAGGTTCAAAGATGTCATGTACTTTAAAAGGGTGGCTGAATAAGCACTTGATAAACGTTAACTATTACGACGTTCCTTAGGGGCACCTGGGTAGCTCAGTCGTTAAGCGTCTGCCTTGGGCTCAGGTCATGACCCCAGGGTCCTGGGATCGAGTCCCACATCGGGCTCCCTGCTCCGCGGGAAGTCCGCTTCTCCCTCTGCCTCTGCCCCCTGCTTGTGCTCTCTCACTCCGATAAATAAATACATACGTACATAAAAAACTATTACGATGTTCCTGCTAGTATTCTCTAAAATAAAGGGGGAAACAACCCAATAAGAATTCAATAAGTGCTCGCTCATGTTAATAAACATTGTTTTTTAAAATTAAGTAGTTGTAAAGCTGTATCTGTCTAAATATTTTAAGTGCTTAGGATATAATATTATATGAAAATGCAAAATTAAAATGAAGTGTTTAATAAAGATCACAACTGAAATGGCTGATGTATGTAGTGCAAGGCTTGAGGGTGCTAGGAAAAATGAAGAGTTGTATCCTGGTGGTGGAAGTGTACAAATTTGTTTTAATTTTACATATTAATGTTTTTTAATTTGTTTATGTTTCTGCTTTATCCCAAAACTAATTTAAGGTGGCTCCTGATTTTAAAATTACTTCTACATTAAAAAGTGATTTTCAAATCTAATCACAACTTAGGGTCTATTTAAACCCTTTATGATATAGAAGGAAGGAAGGAAGGAAGGAAGGAAGGAAGGAAGGAAGAAGGGAGGGAGGGAGGGAGGGAAGGAGAAAATTGTGTGTACCATGGCATACTATAATCAAAGCAGTTTCTTTTCCTAAAATACCACAAAAAAATTACAATTCTTTCATTTATCAGATCACATATATTCAACTGGATTAGCCATCATTGCAATAGTCTGAAATGTAACAAAAATTGGCTAGTGAATATCCTTTAGGAAACCTCACTTGGAAACACACAAGTCCCGCAGCATCTAAGGCACTTGTGATTCTCATGTGCTGTCCGATTTCATTCAGTCTACAATGTAGCTTTCACACAGTCCGGGAGTTTCTGATGTGTCCCACAGACGGATGAAGGAAGAGGAAAATTAATTCCACTTGACCCAATGCCTGCAATTTACATTACGCCAATGGTGGTGATTTTCAAAATGGTGACCCCCTTATCAGTGTAATTCTTGTCTTATAATATACAACCAGGGGTATTGATCCTACTCTGTGCTGGCATGATAAAAAGTCACTGCTTAGACAATGTTTTTGCAGGGATTATCCTAATTTCCAAAAACAATCCATGGTACATCCTTATCTTTCCAGAGCTACCTTACAGAGTATCCAGAAAAACAATTTTCCGAAGCAGGGCTTTCATTTACCTATGGGGTATAATTACTATAATAAAAATTTATTACAGAAAATGTACAAAAATATGTCCAACTTTTGTTTAAAATGTTTGTAGGGGGAGAGGTATAACACGTCATTCATGTCTACGTTAATTTTGCTACTTTTTATTAAGTGCCCAAGTACATGAGAAGAATTGTTTTCCACACTGAAGAATATTATAGTGATGAAATTTGTAAAGAGATACACACACCCCCAAACCTAGATGGCAAGTAACATATGACCATTAGAGTAGTGCTCCGAAACTGAGTATCAGAAAAGGTTCCGAGGTTGCATCTTGCCATCCCCATCTAAGGGGCAAGTATCGGTTCTTTTTAACGTTGGGTGAAAAACATGAAAAACTGCTATTCTTTTTGAAGACTGAAGAGTGATATCCCAGAGACTATTCTTCATTTTAAAATACCAAATATTAAAGATATACACATAGGTATTTTTGTGCTTAAATCTTAGTTACTAGGAAAGCAGTAAGGGCAGCCCTCAAATCCTGTCACTACACTTCCTTTCATCCCAGGGCATCCAAGGAAGCATCTGAGTACCTACATGCTTCGTGTTGCAGAACTGAAATGATGAGGTGCATAATTTCTTGCCTAAACATCTAAGGCAACTGCAGAGATCATGCCCGTGAGAAACAATGATAGAAGGGCAGCCCCCATGGCCAGGACGCATTCCTGTAATTGTGAGTTGGCACAATTTCCAAAAGTGGGATATGCAGCCCCTCCGCAGAGCAGTCCTGTGCCCCATTTCGAAAGTCACGAACTTATAGGGAGGTCTCAATGAGCCAGGTAAACTGACTTGGTAGAGAAGCACTGTTCTCCCTGATCCTACAATCACTGAGCTAATCTACTTCTCATTCCTCGAATGGCTCCCCTCTCCCGCCTGTCATCTCTGCAGGCTCAGTCCTGCAAAGGGCAGCAATTGAGAGGTTTCTGTTGCCAGGTCTCCCTCCCATCATGGCGTCCTGTCCACTCCCTGGGAGTTCACCTGGCTCCCCGCCATGCCTAGCTCCACCCTCACTGAGTGCAGATCCTCCCCCTGTGTAGCTGATACAGTTTCCATAACTCACATTCCCATACTTGCTCATTTCTCAGCCACTTTGCTAGTCTGTGATGATATAAGAATAATAGTTAGCAGGAAATGCCTACAATATGTCAGGTACTATGTTAGCATTTCTATATACATGATTTACTCATCTCAATAACCTGCAAAATAGCTATATTGCTATGTCCCTTCATTCATTCAACAAACTAATGTGACACCTATTTATTAAACCAATTTTTATGGAATAGCTATCATGAGCCAATATACTCTGGTAAGCACTGGACAGAGATGAATAAGACATGAACTCCAATTAACTCTCAGTAATAGGAAGGTGAGGCCCTGGGATGTCAAGTAACTTCCCTAAGGTCCCACAGCCTTGCCACAGGAGCCAGAATCTGAGACCCAGGTTTCTGTTTCCAAGCCCACACTCTTTCCTATACCACACTGGCTCTTAGTGGGCCCCAAATGAGCTCAGTCCATGCCCATACTAATAATACCTTAAGCCGCTCACACCCCAGCCAAGTTTGGAGAACCAGCAGCCTGTCCACCAGCAAACCTCAACCCTCCATTTTCTACAGATCCCTTGTCTCCATCAAAATCCTACCTCTTCACTATGAAAATCGTTAAGCCTCCAGTTTCCATGACCTCTGAAAGCTGGAGGCTTGAATGCAGAGTCGCCAATAAAACAACCTCTAGATTATTTCCTGTCCTAAAATGAAGTAGCAGAAAGCTAACATATATTTAAGCGTCTGCCCATACAGCTGCTCTAACTTGCAAAAAAATCCCCAACAAAGCATCTCACTTCCACTAGTAAAAGAGACCAAAAATTTGGCTCCCCCATACCTTATGAAAACTAATATCTCACTTTCAATTTCATTTTGCTGACATATAAGTCTGCCCAAAAACTCCTCTAGAAAATTAATGTTAACTATTATCACTCCAGCAGACCAACTCTACCTGATAATGTTTTCCCAAATTCTTAGGAAGGGAAGCTTTGTGGAGATGGAATGCAGGATAGAAACATCAAGTCTGCTATTTGCAGCTGTGCAAACTAACTTTAATAGTTTTTGCCAACAGCATGAGTGTGTACTGAAGGCTCTGCTAAATGTGTCTCTCTGTTCATTATCTAAAATTGCCTGAAGCGCTGAAAACATGAGGAAGTACTTCCCTGGAGCATCTCACATTACCAACTTGGTAAAATGGTATGCAGATCATTTACAGGAAAATACATCTCCTCAAGAAAAAAGCATGTACACAGCTCGCCAGATGAGTAGAAAAACAAATGTTTTTTGATAATTATCAGGCTTTTGAAACTCAGCAGAAGCAAGCAACATTTGCAACATCTTCACTTACTTACCAGTTTCAGATCCTTAGAAGATAGCTTTGTGAACCACTGATTGTACTCCAGAGCAGCAATGATGGGGATTAGGTCCCTAGAAGCAGAAATAACAACATCCATTGAAAGCCCTCTTACCAGAGCCTTATTGGTGCTTTATTCTCAACCCACGACATCCAAGTTCACTGGTTAGCTCCTTTTATTTACAAACACAACATCCCACTAAAACTACTTCAACCACGAGACAACAATTCTCTGGGACAGACCTTCAGTATGATGGAAGCAGAATTCCGAAAAGCTGAATTTAAACTACCTCTAGGGCCCCTAATGTCTATATGTAAAGGAAAAGAGACTGGTAGCAGCATTTGCCCAGGGAACCTCCTTGCTCTAGGAGAAACCGTACTCCTCCTTCTATGTTAACGAGTCTGATTTCTTTAACCATCAAGAATGTCATATACAGTTTAACCTGGAACAATACCGGTTTGAACTGCATGGGTTTCTTTTTAATAAAAAAAGTATAGCACTCTAAATGTATTTTTTCTCTTCCTTATGATTTCCTCAGTAACATTTTCTCTCCTCTAAGCTTACTTTATTGTGAGAATACAGTATATAATACATGTACACATACAAAGTGTGTGTTACATGTTTATGTTATCGGTAAAGCTTCTGGTCAACATGAGGCTATGAGTACTTAACATTTTTCAGGAGTGAAAGGCTATACTTGGACTTTCGACTGTGAGGGGAGATCATTGCCCCAGCCCCCATCCTCCCACTGTTAAGAGTCAACTGTGTTCTCTAGTTGAAGAGTTTATATTGCAAGCAAGGACACTGTCTAGCCTTGCAGATAAGTGACCCTGAATGGATTCCCGATGCTTAGCAAGCATCCTACAACCCTCTGGTACTTTCTTGTAGTTCCTTGTACTGATCACACACATGAGCTAACCCGGGTGTGTTTTTGTCTTATGCTTCACACACATTCTTCAGCCATGGAGGGCAGCTACTTGCATCAGAGACCTGTCTGCACTCTATTTATCCAGCCTGACCTGCTACAACATGCCCCTCACTCATGCTCAGGCCAAAAGGCAGACGGTTTACTACGCATCAAACATACCAGACAATGTCACAGTCAGAAGTCATCTTTTACTGCTGTGTTCGGCTACAAGAATCCAATGATCCTGCGATGCGTACATCACACATCCTCTAAGAGTCCCCTAGGTCACCCCAGCCAGCACCCTGTTTGCATCTCTGTTTAGCATTAATTTTACTCGGCCTTGGATAATCGTTGGTATTCAACATCTGTCTCCCCCGCCCCTTCCCAGGTTGTAAGTTCTTTGAAAACCAACTCTATTTCGGTTGTCTGGCTTCAGTGAGACCATAATCAGTTTCACCCGCATGGCAGGACACACAGCAAATACTCAAATTTTTACTGAAATAGAAAAGAAAGGCAGAAGGTGGAAAGAGAGGTAAAATTCACATTATTTCATAACTTCTGGTCCCAGGCCCCATGGCGGGCAAGCTACACAGACCATCTCGTTCAACTACATGATCCCGGGGTCCTGGGATCGAGTCCTGCGCTGGGCTCCCTGCTGAGCAGTTGAGTCAGCTTCTCCCTCTCCCTCTGCTGCTCCCCCTGCTTGTGCGCTCTCTCCCTCTCTCTCTCGCAAATAAATAAATAAAATCTTAAATAATTAAATAAATAAATGGGAGAGAGGAGTCCCACAGGCAGGGGAGAAAAACAACGCAAAGGAATTACTAGTCTCAGTCACCTCGTTCCACAGGCCCCCTGCCCTACCGAACAGCCTCTTTATTAATTTTGCTTACGTTTTAGAATTCAGATTAGGACGAACAGCAACTCTTGCCAGGGTGGTTTTGCACTCCCTTTACCACTCCCCCCTGCCTGCCCCCCGACCACGTGCAAGAGTGAATGCCTGTCGGGCGCCTGGGTGGCTCAGTTGGTTAAGCGACTGCTTTCGGCTCAGGTCATGATCCTGGAGTCCCAGGATCAAGTCCCACATTGGGCTTCCCGCTCAGCAGGGGGTCTGCTTCTCCCTCTGACCCTCTTCTCTCTCATGCTCTCTGTCTCTCATTCTCTCTCTCTCTCAAATAAATAAATAAAATCTTTAAAAAAAAAAAAGAGTGAACGCCTGTCACTCTCCCTGGGATGTGGTGACAGTTTGTTGCTTCTCTGGGGGCAAATGCCGGCTTCTCACACGCTTAGTGCAAGAGTGTTCCCTGTACTTCTCCATTCAGGAACTAGGGCAAAGCATTCTCGGCTTCTCTCCTTCTGTCGATTTAATGTCAAGTAGCTACTACACTTCAGAACCTCTTTATTATGTGTTCTAGCCTGTCACCTGATTTGGAGCACAGCTGGCTTTTGTCATAATGAAGTCGTTTGCAGGAAGTGAAGAGCACATCACTAATAGAACCAGGCTTTGCACTGACACAGGGGGTGGGGCAGCATCGTCTCTACGTACGAACTGCAAACACCCTGAAAAGGCAGAGCAAACTCCACAGCTAGAGGTAGAGAATCTAGGAGAAGAAATGGTCAACAGAGCAAGGAATGGCTTAGTCAAAGAGTTTCTATATCTGACGCCAAAAGCATGATCCATAAAAGGGAAAAATGGATAAATCGGACTTCACCTAAATCAACCGTCTTTGCTCTGCCAAAGATCTGTTAAGAGAAGGGAGAGACAAGCCCCGTGCTGAGGTAAATGCTGGCTCTTGGAGGTCAGTAATAAGAAACAACCCAATTTTTAAAAACAGGCAAAAGATCTAAACAAGACAGTTTCATCAGATAAGATATATCAATGGCAAAGAAGTATATAAAAAGACATTTGAGGGGTGCCTGGGTGGCTCAGTCGATTAAGTGCCTGCCTTTGGTTCAGGTCATGATCCCAGGGTCCTGGGATCGAGCCCCGCATCGGGCTCCCTGCTCAGTGGGGAGTCTGCTTCTCCCTCTCCCTCTGTGTACTCACTCTCTCTCTCAAATAAATAAATGTATCTTTAAAAGAAAAAAGAGATCTTTTAAAAAAAAAAAAGGGATGTTTGAAATTATTAGCCATTAAAGAAATGCAGTTTAAAGCCAAAAGGAGATGCCACTATGAACTTACTGAATTGCTAAAATTAAAAAAACAAAAAACAAAAAAGACTGACAAGGGCTGGCAAGGATGCCGAGCAACTGAAACCCTCATACAAACCCTCATACGTTGCTGAGGGGAATGCAAATAGCACAGTCGAGGTGGAAAACAGTCCGACAGTGCCTACGTTTAACATACACTTACCATAAGACCCAGCCGTCTCAATCCTACATACTCAACCAAGAGAAATAAAAACTTGTCCTTACACAAAAACTTACATATTATTGTTTATAACGGCTGTATTCCATATTGTCAGACACGGGAGACAACATGGATGTCTTCCTCTGATGCTGTGGGACTTCCAGGGCAAGGATAGAAAAGGCAATAATATGGCTTCTGCTCAGCTCCCTCTCTTGACACGCTCACCCATGGAATCCAGCTGCCTTGCCCTGAGAAGGTGCGGGCCACATGGGAAGGCCACGTGGAAGTGTCCCAGCAGACAGCATCAGCCACCAGACGTGTGAATGAGGAAACCTTCAGACGGCTCCGGAGCCAGCCCCCGTCTGACCGTAACGGTTGGAAAGAGCGCAAGCAAAATCCACCTAGCAGAGCCCCATCAAGCCCAGAACCGGGACAGGTAATTGAAAGTGACCACTCATGCTGTAGGCCATTCAGTCTGGAGTGGTTTGCATACAGCAGTAAACAAACAGAACACTTAGTGTCCAGAAACCAGCCTTGAACGTTACAGTACCAGGAACAGGACTGTAGACAGGGTGACCATAAAAAGCTTTGAAGCAGAGAACTGTTTCAGGAGGTTAACAATTTCAGCAAAGTAGGTAGGATGTATCAGAGGAAGGTGACAGTTTCCATTATGCAGGCAAGATGTATCCAAGATAACAGCAGAAGCCCGAGGCAGAAAGTGGCTTCTGGAGCGAGGCTAGAACAGGAGCCAAGGCAAAATAAATAATTTTTCCTAAACTCATTAAAGAGTTACTGCAACCCCAACTGAAATATGCATGCTTTTATGATGAAACCATAAAGAAACACAAGGACTGTTAGAATAATTATTACAACCAGGTGGGGGAGGGGCGCAGGGGGAACCGCAAAGGAAAATGGATTCATGCAGGTCTTAGGAGAGGCAACAGCCCATCTCTTGACCTAAGTGGTGGATAGAGTGGTTGACTTTATCACTATTTGCATTCTGGCACACTACTGCACACTTTTCTCTCCACAATCAACACTAAGAACAGCCTTAGCAGCGTTGCTCAAAAGGGTCATGAAGCTAACCCAAATATCCAACCACCTGCAGAATGGATAAATGGTGGAATGTTCACACAGTAGAACACAAAACAGAAACCAAAGTAAATGAGCTACAGCTGCACATAACAGTAGGTCAAACCTCGGTTCTCAGGTCTGAAACCTCTCACACCCTGGCTGGATTGTGCGGAGAATGGGGAGCTTTCAGTCTGAGAAGCAAGCATCCAGAAAGCACTTCAGAAAACACCTAAGAGAAAAGCCAAGGTCTGAACCAAGGCTCATTCGGGATTCCTCGAATCTGTTCCTCTCGGACCATCCAAGGCACCAGGACAGAGTTCCTGTGAGACCAACACAGAGGCCAGAGTTCCGGGAGACTCCGTCTAACTATAACAAACTATCACCAATCATGACCAAAACCGGTGCATCTCACCCCAACAGAAAAAAACACAAGACCGCACGTCAATAATTTGATTCCTGAGAGTTCATTTTCCTGGATGGCTTTCTTAGAACACAGTAATAAGTAAGCAAATCAGCAAACCCAGGATAAACAGCCAATTTGGCATTCGCGCGGGGCCCCCAGCAGCTGTGCTGATGTCACCTCGCTGCAAAGAGCTCCCTGCACTCCCCTGGTGGGGCCTGTGCCAGCCAGAACCAGCCCCTTCTCCTGTTTTCACTAAGCCCTGCAGGCATTATATTACATAATGCAGAAAGGTTTCCAAACACCAATGCTTGTCATCTTGACCAATTTTCGCAGGGTAACAGC